AGCAGCTGGACTATTCCTTCACTGGGAGCAGCAGTGGCATCCGATGGGCTGGAGGGCTGCTGCCAGCCCTGGACATCACACATGCCACAGAGCGAAGCAGAGGCAGAGCTGCTGCCCATCAGGGCCTCTCAGTTCCATAAGTTGCTTCAGTCAGCGGTTGGGGTAGGACTCTGACCTGCTGGGGGTTTGCCCTCACAGCCATGCCCCAGAGAAAGCAGCCAGGAAGTTTAAGTATGATGGGGAACCAATGTGCATTAAAATTGAGGTCTGTGAGTATGAGCACTTCATGCCCACAGACCTTGAAATTAAGCATCAGGCACTGCCAAGCTGGGCAGGGGTAGCCCAGGGAGGGATGGTGATGGGAGCGTATCAGAAATTATCAAAGCACTGTAACTAACAAACTGGTTTTAAATCAGCAGGGGAAGCCTGACAGTTGTCTATGTGCCCCAGCCCAAGGCTGGTCCCTCTGTGTTTCCAGGGAAGACACAGGATGGGAGCAGGCAGCACACAGGGATGTGGTGCAGAGGTGCCCAGCCCTGCTGCCATCCCACAGATTCCCCTCTCTCCTGGCAGGTGACTCAGACCCAGCAGGAACATGGCAACAACACAGGCCCTCCCCAGTGCCGAGCTCTGGGCCTCCCATAACAAGATGGTGATGGAGCCACTCGACACCAACGACCCAGAGGTGAGAGCCCTTTCCTGGCTCCTACCCAGCCAGGCAGCTGTGGGGATGCTGACCTTCTTGAGCCAGGGACACGGCAGAGTCCAAGGCTGAGCTGCTGGAACCCATCCATCCTCTGTTCCCTCTCTGTACTGGACATATGAACTGCCTGAGATCAGCTGTATGAAGAAGGGATCTTGTCTCCCTTCTCCAGCACCTTTCCAGGCCCCTCTTCATGCCCTGTCCTCTCCAAGGGTGCATACCCCATGGCGGAGCATCCACGTCTCCTTGCACAGCTGTCATGGGTGAAGCTGTTCCTCTCCTCTCCCAAAGGTGCACAGCATCATCAAGAAGGAGAAGCAGCGGCAGAGGCTGGGGCTGGAGTTAATTGCATCGGAGAACTTTGCGAGCCGAGCAGTCCTGGAGGCTCTGGGCTCCTGCATGAACAACAAATACTCTGAGGGTTACCCAGGACAGAGGTATGGGGCTGGGACCAAGTCCCACCAACCCACCAACACCCTCAGGGAGGGAAAGAAACCACCAATGCTGCCAGGTCTCACCTGTAGGAAGGAAGTAATGTCCTTGTGCCAGCAGCCAGACTCCCCCAGGGCAGGATCTGACCCTCTCAGCTTCTGTCCTTGGCCACACCAGCAGGGCCATGTATGGCGTGACTGCCACAAACACGGCATCACAGGGAGTGTCCTCATGAGTTTGGTTTTACCTCCTGTCCTGTCCTTTGCCACAGGTACTACGGTGGGACAGAGTTTGTCGATGAGCTGGAAACGCTGTGCCAGAAGCGAGCCCTGCAGGCATACCGGCTCGACCCCCAGAAGTGGGGTGTCAACGTCCAGCCCTACTCAGGTAACAGGGTGCTCAGGAGAGCCAGGACTGCTGCCCTGGCCTCTGTGGCCTCAGCAGTCGTAACCCCCTGGGGTGCTCTCACTGCAGGTTCACCTGCAAACTTTGCGGTGTACACGGCTCTGGTGGAGCCCCACGGTAGGATCATGGGGCTGGACCTGCCTGATGGTGGTCACCTCACCCATGGGTTCATGACGGACAAGAAGAAGATCTCTGCCACCTCTGTCTTCTTCGAGTCCATGCCCTACAAGGTACGGAGAGCTGCTCCAGCTGGAGCCAGGACATGGTCATCATGTGTTGGTGCCTCTAAATGTACCAGTGTCAGGTTCCTGGCACTGCCTCCTGCAGGACAGTGCTGCAGCCAGTCTTCACCCATACCACGGTGGCTGAACCCTGCTCTTCCTCTCCCAGGTCAACCCCAAGACTGGTTACATCGACTATGACCAGCTGGAGGAGAACGCTCGCCTCTTCCACCCTAAGCTGATTATAGCAGGTAAGGATCAAACCCATACTGACCTCCCTGAAGCTCCTTGAAGCCAACAGCCCCGCAGTGAGCCCATGGATGGAAACCTACAACACATCCACCCTGGAGGGAGATTGTGTACTGTTCCCACTGCAAGGCTGGACCCAGGGCTGTCCCAGGGTCCTCATGCATCTGCTCCTGTCCCCTTCTCATCCCATCTCTCTGCAGGTGTCAGCTGCTACTCACGCAACCTGGACTACGCACGCATGCGGAGGATCGCCGATGCCAACGGAGCTTACCTCATGGCTGACATGGCCCACATCAGTGGGCTGGTGGCTGCTGGCGTGGTGCCCTCCCCCTTCGACCACTGCGACATCGTCTCCACCACCACCCACAAGACCCTGCGGGGCTGCAGGGCTGGGATGATCTTCTACCGCAGAGGTGCCTGACCTGGCTGGGGTGCTGGGAGAAATGCTCCCCTCGGGCCAGGGGTGCTGCAAACTAATGTTCCTTCCTGCTCTGGGTGGGAAGGAGGGAAGGCAGAAAGGTCCATGGTCTTATAGGAGCATCTGGAGAGCTTCCTTGTGCCAACCCTGGCCCAAATTTAAAGAGAAACAGCCACCATCCCTGCTCTGAGTGGCTGGGGGTGGAAGCAGCTCCTGGGAGAAGGGCAGCCATGCTGCCTTGTGTGTGACTCTGCACTCCCCTCCCACAGGCACCCGCAGTGTGGACCCCAAGACAGGCAAGGAGACACTCTACAACCTGGAGAGCCTCATCAATCAGGCTGTCTTCCCTGGGCTGCAGGGAGGCCCACACAACCATGCCATCGCAGGTATGCACCCAGGCTGGCTGCCAGCTCCAGCATGGCAAAAGGAGCTGAAAAAGTCACCCTGGCTGGACTCTGACCCCCAGCAGCAGCGCAAAGGGCTCCAGCTGCCCTACAGGGCTCAGAGCCTGGAGATACCACAAAGAACAGCTGGTTGATCCAGCATTGCCCAAGGAGTGACCAAGATTGTCCCATTCTGTCTTTTGGCTCATGGTGATGCTGCCTTGGTTAGAGGAAAGGAAGGGACTGTCCATCAATTTGTTCAGCTTCCAGGATGGCTTTCTGCTGGCAGTGCCACACATCCCTGCCAGCTCTGCCAGTGAGAGCCTCCCCAAAACTGACCCTGGGCTGCCTCCCTCCGCAGGGATCGCCGTGGCTCTGCGGCAGGCCATGACACCCGAGTTCAAGGCCTACCAGCAGCAGGTGGTGGCCAACTGCAAGGCACTCTCAACGGCACTGATGGAGATGGGCTACGACATTGTCACAGGTGAGGACAGGTCTCGGTGGGATGGGGTTGACCCTCCAGAAGGACAGCACATGCTTGGATGCAATCGGCAGGGTTGTGCTGGCACAATTCCTCACAATATCCACAAACCTCTTCTGAGTAGCCTAAATTCCCAAGGGTCCCTCTTCAGCCCCACCCCAAAACCAAGGGCAGACCCCAGTGCAATCCCAAGCCTTTTTTTGCTGCAGTTTCCCATGGGAGCAGCGTTTTCCCAATCTCACATCCCCACCCAACTCCTCTCTTTTCAGGGGGCTCCGACAACCACCTGATCCTCCTGGACCTGCGCAACAGAGGCACAGATGGCAGCCGGGCTGAGCGGGTGCTGGAGATCTGCTCCATCGCCTGCAACAAGAACACATGCCCTGGTGAGGGATCCCACAGGCTCTATCACATCCTGCCCACCATGGGGATCTCCCATGGGCTGTGCCAGGGTTCCCAGTTCCCAGTCTCCTCTCGATGCTGGGAACCAGGCTGCAATCCCGTGCGTGGTGGTTTTGGTACTGGGTTGGGTTACTTGTGTCTTGTTGTGGTGCAGGTGATGTCAGTGCCCTGCGCCCCAGTGGCCTGAGGTTCGGGACTCCTGCTCTCACCTCCCGCGGCTTCCGGCAGGATGATTTCCGCAAGGTGGCTCAGTACATCCACAGAGGTGAGCCAGGGGCATGTGGGGCCAGGCCTCAGCTCTAGCAGCTCCCTGGGCCAAGGAGGCACCAACTGAGCCAAGCTGGGGCCTTCCCCACAGCTGGCAAGGGAGCACACCCACAAGTGGGGAGTAACTGTCCCACCTGCACATCTGGATGTGGGAGAGGACATCTGGCCAAACCATTCCCACTGGCAGTGGGTTGAAAGCCTGCCCCTCTCGCAGTCTCGTCCCAGTTCTCCTCAGGGGTCCCACACTGGTTTCCCAGGGCAGCACATCCTTCACATGACAGGGAGGGAGCAACAGGCTTTGGAGAGCTGTGGAATGCAGCAGCTACAAGGGTTGACCAAGGCACCTTCCATCCTGGCAGGCATCGAGCTGACACTGCGCGTGCAGAAGGACATGAGCCCCAAGGCCACGTTGAAGGAATTCAAGGAGAAACTAGAGGAGGATAAATACCGTGGGGAGGTGAAGGCACTGAAGGAAGAGGTGGAAGCCTTTGCAGCCACCTTTCCGCTCCCAGGGCTGCCTGTCCTGTAAGGAGAGGCACCTGTGCCCACTCCTGGAGCCATGGGAGTACCAGGGATTGTGGCACACTCGCACCCTAGCGTGAGACCAACACCCCAGTGCCTTCTCCCAGCATCTCCCTGCTGGCACTGCAGCAGCAGCTCCTCCTTTGGCTCTTACTCCCCTCTCTCCTCCCATCTGGGGCATAGGGACCCCCTGAGCACAGCCCCCACAGGAACACCAGCCCTTCACCACTCAGGGTCACCATCGGGACCAAAGCACCAGGTCACCCTCACCTCAGGGCCAGGTGCCATCCAGCTCCTTCTGGCTGTGGGAGCAGCAAGGTTTAGGCAGGCCTGTCCACATTGCCCTGGACACCCTGCCCACAGCAGGGGGAGGGACAGTGAGTCCAGCCCCCTGGGGCAGGTGTGCTGTGCTCAGCTGCACAAGAGACCTCACAGCCACTAAAAGCCTTCCTGGTTTGAGCCTGGAGGATTCCCCTTCACCCTGTGTGCCTTCCCACCTCCTCTGCAGGCTGTGACAAGACCCTATCCCTAAAATCCCTCCTGGGATCACCATCCCATCCTCTGGTATTTTCTCAGACCTCTGAGCACAGAGCTTAGGTTGAACCATTTTTTAATAAGCACGGTAAAATTAAGAATTTAACCACAATGTATGACAAGAATTATAAGCTTTAAAAAATACAACCAATTTTTTTTTCCTTTTGTATTTCAAAAATATCTGAACCCAAATAAATAATTTTTTTTCTTAAAAGTACATTTCTCAGACTAGTCATTTGGTGTTAACATCTGTTAAACTCTTGTGCAGTAACACTTACAGCACGACACTAAGACATGCTTCTTGGAGTTCTCCCGGTCACACTCGCTCTAACTACTGACGCAAGCATTCGGCACGCACAGGCACACGCACGGAACTCAACATGCAGGAATAGGATACAGTGCTTTAAAATAAGATGAGAATTCATCACAGCCTCCTGGCAGCCCTCAGAGGCAGCTCCAAGCCCAGCCACATCCCCGTGCCAGCAGTGGTGCTGCCGGCGGGACCAGGTACCCTGTGGTTCTGCCTTCCAGTTCAATTCGTCTCGGGGAGCAGTGGGGGGGTGGGGGAATTGTAGCCCCTCCAACAGTGCAGTCTGGTGCTCTGATATTGTGCTCTGGGGCAGGTGCTCTCCTGAAGCCTGGGCAGCTCCCTGAATTCCCACTGCACCTTGTTACAGGAGCCTTCTCACAGCGCTGCTCTGGATCCCACCCAGCTCTCAGAATCTGCAGCATGGGGTGTCCCCCACCACCAGCCCAGGGCGGTCAGGGCCCCCCACATGCAGTAACAACCAGAGGACTGGCCTGGGGGCACAGAGCCATCAGCTCCCACCCCGAGTGCCTCTCCCACCCCTCACAAAACGGTGAATATTGCTAGAGTACAGGCAGCTCCTCCCTCTCAAGGCAAGGCAGCTGTGGAGCTGCTCAGAAGGGATTGCTACCAGACGAGAAGAAATCTGAGCATTGTTCTCTGAGAAATTAAACCTGTGTAGGGTTAAGATCACCTACTGCTATGGCTGACCCTCCTCGGGTGGGAGCTGAAAGCAGTGGGTTAGTGGAGAGCAGAGCAGGGCTGGCAGTCGGGAAGCAGAGTGGGGAACAGGAGCCCTCCCTCCCGGCCAGGGGAGACTTCTGCTCTGATGAATTCTCAGTCAGGCTTGAGGTCTCCTCTCCCTGGCAGGCAGGAGGGAGCCAGCGCAGCCGTGCAGGAGGCAGGAGCATGCTGGGCTGGCAACATTCACAGAAGCAGAGGACAGCCATGCAGGGCACTGCTGGCTCTGGCAGCTGAAAGGCTGGTGAGGATTGCACTGAGGCTGCCAGGAACCTGCCCTGCTCCTGGTGGAAGGATGGCTCAGGCAAGCTGATGACACACCTGCCAGGACTCATCGTGGCAGCTGTCCGTGTGAAGGTTGTGACTTGAAAGTCTATGAATGTCAGGAACTGGTGAGGTACCACAGCGAGATTGGGGAAAAGTCCTAAAGTGCTGATACAGGGATCTGTACTGTACAGGAGTAGAAGGTCAGACAGAGAAATTACAGAGGAAAGAGGAATTCAACTCCCGAACACCAGTTGCAGTTGGAATCCCCTGATTTCAGTGAGGGCAGGCTGGGCTCTGGCTGCACTGAGGTGTCACAGCCCAGAGTAACTCCCACTCTTCCAGTCCGAGCTCAGAGGTTACACTGCCCACAGGACAAGCACTCCAGGGCATGTTTCCCCACAGCTCCCTGTTGCAGATAACCCCAGAGCTCCTGTTGGGAGTCCCACCAAGCCCCCAGGGCACCCTCCCAAATCAGAGCTGCTTTGTGGCGGGGAGGTGAAGCAGGTCAGACAGATGGTAGTGCAAGTATTGCTCAACACAACCTTGAACGTCAGATACTACAGGTTTGATAGAGGGAGCAACGAGAAGTGAGTTATTCATCAATTTATGAGTGCAGCTGAACACCACAGGTCGAGACCACTGTGACTAAGAGATGAGCCAACACTAATCATCCCTCCTGCTCCATCCGCACTGTCTGCCTGGAGGAAGACATGAATGAGTCAG